TAACTTAAGTGCTGGAAATTAATAGAAGTCAGCTCTAAAATATCCTGAACTGCATTCCCTGGAGTGTATTACTTTGTGTTCACAGGAGAGTTTAATAGTCTAAAGCCAAAAGGGTCTATTAGATCAGGCAGGCCGACTTCTGGCATGTCATAGACAGTTACACTTAACCCATTTATCCTTTTAAGCCCAGTAGCTTGGATTAGACTGTACTATGTCCTGTAACACTAAGATTCATTAGAATTACCCATTTCAGCAGTGAGCCTGTGCTTGGTGCTTCAGAGGAGAATAAAAAGCTTGGAGCGCTGTTTTCTGTCTAACCTGGGGGACTGTGTTGGACAAGGATCTGAAAAAAAATCTCAGGTACAGGTGGATCTTCTGTACTGCTTCAGCACTCTGATCAGCCCTGTTTAGTGTGCCCTGTGGCCACCCTTGATACTTTAGAAAAAAGTAGTGGGAGAAGCAGAAGGTGTCTACACTGAAAAATGCTTTCCCTATTGACACTTACAAGCTTTTGGCTGGAGTCATGATGCTAATTTGCTACTAGTCAGCATTTTGTGCAGAGGTGGAAACACTGTGTGGGGAAAAAATACTGTGGCTGGAAAGGAGATCATCGTGGATTTTACTATTCAAATATACCTGTACTTCAGCTACTGTTGAGGTAGTGCTGCTGCACTTGTACTCTTAGGTCTGGACAGACTTTAAACATCACTCTAATCCTCACTCAAAATCACCCCCTCTAATTCCTCAATCCTAACCCCTCACTCTAATCCCATAATCAGAATCCCTTGCTCTAATCCCTTGCTCTATAATTTGGATTGAGATACTGTGTTTTGAGGCTCTACCACATCTGCTTGTTTTACCAGCGTGTTACACTACACTACACTAAGCTATGGTACCTGGCTAGAACAGCAACCCCGTGCAGTGAGGCACACCACATGCTAAGTGTGGCGACAGCAAGTCGTGCTTTGGAGATAGATGTGTCCTATCACCTGACGTGCTGTTACAATCATGGATGACAGAGCTCAGTGCTCAACCCAGTAGCAGGTACTTTTCGGGAAACAACAGGCCATTTTTTTTGGAAACAACACCTAACCTAACCCCATTGCTACTTCTTCCAGTTTGGAGTGATGTTTGAAGGTGCAATACTGTAGATGGAAATCAGAATCAAGTTATAATCTGCACTTCTGTATACCTCCAGAAGCCATACAGTTTCAGTTGTCTCTTCCATTCCTTTAGTGGTTAAAAAAAGAGTCCAATAAAGGCACAGGTAACACTACAATGCTGCTATCTGGCAGCCAGATGTGAAGCTCAAGCATTCTGTAGTTTGCTTTTTTACAAACCAAGCCAAAAGAGCCGCTCTCCATAATCTATCAGCAATCCTGGTCAACAGGGGAGGTCCCAGATAAGGGAGAATTACAGACCTGTCAGCCTGACCTCAGTACTGGGCAAAGTTATGAAGCAGATCATCTTGAGGGTGATCACACAGCATGTGCATGACAACCAGGGGATCAGGCCCAGCCAAAATGGGTTCATGAAAGGCAGGTCACCAACCTGATCTTCTATGACCAGGTGACCCGCCTAGTGGCTGAGCGGAAGGCTGTGGATATGGTCTACGTAGGCTTCAGTAAGGCCTTTGACACAGTCTCCCACTGCCTTCTCCTGGAGAAGCTGGCAGCTCATGGCTTAGACAGGGGGACAGGTGGATGAGAAATTGGCTGGATGGCTGGACCCAGAGAGTGGTGGTGAATGGAGCTAAATCCAGCTGACAACCAGTTATGAGCAGTGATCCCCAGGGGCCAATGTTGTGGCCGGTCCTCTTTAATATCTTTGTCGATGACCTGGATGAGGGGATTGAGTGTGACCTCAGCAAGTTTGCAGATGATACCAAGCTAGGGGAAGAGTAGATCTACTTGAGGGTAGGAAGGCTCTGCAGAGGGATCTGGACAGGCTGGATTGAGGGGCTGAGACCAACTGCATGAGGTTCAACAAGGCCAAGTGCTGAGTCCTGCACTTGGGGCACAACAGTCCCCTGCAGCACTATAGGCTTGGGATAGTGGCTGGAGAGCTGTGCGGCAGAATAGGACTTGTGGGTGTTCAACAGCCAACTGAACATGAGCCAGCAGTGTGCCCAGGTGGCCAAGAAGGCCAACAGCATCCTGGCTGTTATCAGGAACAGTGCCCCAGCAGGACCAGGGAAGATCTTCCCTCTGTACTCGGCACTGGCGAGGTTGCACCTCGAATACTGTGTTCAGTTTTGGGCCCCTCACTATTAGAAAGATGTGGAAGTGCTGTAACATGTCCAAAGAAGGGCAACAAAGCTGGTGGTGAAGGGGCTGGAGCGCAGACCTTTTGAGGAGCAGTTGAGGGAGCTGGGATTATTTAGTCTGGAGAAGAGAGGCTCAGAGGAGACCTTATTGCTCTCTACAACTACCTGAAAGGAGGTTGTAGTGAAGCAGTGGTCGATCTCTTCTCCAGAATATCTACAGATAGGACAAGAGGAAATGGCCTCAAGTTGCGCCAGGTGAGGTTCAGGTTAGATATCAGGAAAAAAATTATTCAGGGAAAGAATGGTGAAGCATTGGAACAGATTGCCCAGGGAAATGGTGGAGTCACCGTCCCTGGCAGTGTTCAAGAAATGTGTAGATGAGGCGATGAGGGGTATGGTTTAGCAGGCATGGTGTTATACGGTTGGACTCGATTATATGAAGTAGTGAAGAGTCCTCTGTGTTGCTAATAGGATTTATAGTAGGAATGGAAAGTTCTATAGACTTGGTTAGAAATTAGCCTCTTTACATGTCAGAGGAGGCGCTTTCTCTTGATTATTTTGTTCAAGAAATCCTATCCTGTAGGATATATATATATGTGTGTGTAGGATTCTGTAGATTCTTATGTAGAATTTGAATACTCTGATAGGAATTTATATATATATATATATAGGTTATATATATATATATAGGTTATATTTATTTCTTCCTTCTTTCTGTGCTATCTTATTTTGAATCTTGGCTCTCTGTTCCTGTCTCCTCTTCTAGATAAATCCTTTTTCTAGGCAGGTGTCCGATAATTTAAAGATTATTTTCTGACAAATAAGCATTTTCCATCTTCCTGCCAATGGTTCTGAATCATGAAAGCAGCTGAACAAAAGGAGGTAGGAAAACCAATATGAAGACATTAAGTTCATTACTGTGAAGGTTGCAATTTTGGGGGAGTGTGTGTGTGTGCGGGATTTAAAGCGCTCTTCATGTTGGGTTTCTTTTTTTAAATACTATTCTTGGTTTGAAATTTTAATTCTGGGCGTACATTTGGTGCCCAGATGGTGCAGACTCACACAGAAGCCCATCACGCTGTCAGGGCAGGCGGATACATATGTAAATATTTTGCCTTTTTCCCCTATAATATTTGGCTTTGTCTAATCTAATTGCTGTCAAAGGCAGAATGTGAGGAACGCTCAAGAGAAGCAAACAATGAGGACCTTCAACGTGTGCACTGCCCTAAGTTTGGAAGACGCTAGCGGACTGGGATGTAACTAATAATTTAGTTGCTTTTTCCCCCTACACATTGCAAATTGATGGTGTATGCTCTAAATTCATGCTCAGTACTGTTTTACAAGCTGAGGCAGAAACCTGTATTTCTAGAGGTGTCAAAACATTTAATCCCTTGTAGCTTTAGAAGTAGGGCTCTTGACATTGTCTTTTCACTTTAGGATGACAGTGAGTGTTCTTTGCCTGCCTCTTGGTATATCACTTTCTCATTCTTATTTATATATTTCATTGTTTCATTTAATTTATTCTATTGAGTGCCTCTCTTAATGTATTTTAATACATAAAAGCATTTCCAGCATAGTTGCCTTTCTGACCAGTAGTAGCTAGTACCAAACACTGTGGCCAACCACATTAAGGATGCCTGCTTATTTATTAAAGATCCAATCCGAAGTACCGTAACATTAATGCAGGACTGACTTTCATAATCTCTGAATGGGATCCTAACTGCTTAGTGAGTGTCTAACACAGCCAGTGTTAGTGAGGATGCTGGCAATGGGATCTAGGAAATCTTACTGTCTTTCCAGCAGTGAAAGACAGGTTGCACTCATAGGTTTCTGACCAGGTGCAAAACTTTGCCAGGATGGGATTTGTGGAAACCTCTGGCTATGCCAAACCCATTTGTTTAAAGACGTTAACTACAGAAATGGCAGCAGATCAGGGTTTTAGAATTATTGCAGAGGAAGGAAAGTGGCTATGAAAGGAAAATGTAATGAACTGACCAGAAAACAGAGTATCAGCACATGATGCTTTTTTTTCATAGACTGCAGATGAAATCTTGTTTAAGAGGGAGAAAGGTTCCCAATTCCAGGCATTTGTGTTATAGACAGAGGTTCTTTGTTCAGGAGTGCCAAAACAGCCTGCTGTGAAAGTGTGTGGGTACCTTAGAGACACGTCGTAACCTGTCATGTATGCTGCTGTTAGTGCTGCTTCTCTGTGGCATGAAAGGGGGTCTGGAAAATCATTCTTTATAAATATAAATGATGTCTACTGTGCTGTGCTTTTATTACTGAAGGAAAGATCAAACATGTGTGCTTTGTGTATCTCCTGGAGTGCGGGCACTGAGATGCATTACTACAGGGTAAAATAGGATATGAATTTACAGTTTCTGCTAGATATATGCTAGTATCCATGCTGTTAGCTCACAGTCTAGGGAAAAAATTAAAGAAGGGGTGACTTATCTCATGTATATCTTGTGATAGCAGACACTTGGGCAGACACTGTGGAGACTTTAATGTGTCACAAGTTTGTATGAATTTACTGTACACGTAGCTTGTGTCTGTGGGGCTGGTGTCTGCCATGGGCTGCAGACAGCATTGGCTGTCACAGTGGGTTGACAGTAGGGAGTGTTTTGCTCTCAGCCTTTGCTTTTGGTTGTTAAGTCCATCTGGTCTACAGCTGAGAAAACATGCTGCCTCCGTTTAACAGCACTTTCTCTCCTGTGCTTTTTGCCCTTCCCAGGAGCAATTGAGCGGTGCACATACATCAAGTACCACTACTCCTCAGCGACCATTCCCAAGAACCTCACCTACAACATCACCAAGACAATCCGCCAGGATGAGTGGCATGCCTTGCGTAAGTGTTGCTGGGTTTTTTCTCCTTTCTTCTCATGTGTGGACTAATAGATGAGAACAGAGATTTTGGAAAGAGGCCCACTTAGAGCCCTTTTCTTGTACCATTAGTCTCTGTAGTAGTTTGACTGAATTGCCCTTAGGACCTAAGTTTTTGTGCTTTTGCACTGTTGAATAGAAAGTCTGTTGAAGCATGAGAAGGTGGTGGTGGGGAAGAAGCATTCATATGCAGAGATCAGTATTGAGTTAAATACAAAAATGAATAATAAAATCAATACCCTATTTTTTAATTCAATAGAATTCTGTGTATTTGAGTATATTTTTGAGTGCTTCATGCTGCTGCTGAGATTCCTGCTTCCAGCAGAATTCATTGGTGGCTTTTGCTGTAGAATATGTTGTCCTGCTGCCTGCAGCTCCTGAGTGAGAGTGGCATGAATTTCCTTTAAAGATCTAGCAAGAGATGTTGGTCCCTCTAAGGCACAAGGAAGTAACTTAGCCCTTAGTGATAACTCTAGCTGGTGGTCACCAACTAGTAGCACTTGCTGAAGCAACAAGATCTGACAGGGATGGAACTGCCTTGATATGTAGCTGGCCTTGAAGCTTTTCTTCCCTCTTATGGTCTTGGAGCTAGAGAAAGTTTTCACTAGTGAAGTGGAAGAGAGAGGATTTGAAAGGAAAGATGCCACTGCAAGTTCTGTTTGTTATTACACAGTCATGGAGACTGTCAGATGTCCTGAAGTCTCTGTCTCCATGTAAGCAATTAACAGCTCTTTGAAGTTGGCAGGAGTTGAGAGATGCTGATTCTGATGCAACTTCTTGAAAGGCAGTAGTGAGAAATAACTGCCCAAACTCTTCATGAGAAACAAGTAAGATCTTTGGTGTTTCCAAGGCTTTCAGCCCATGTTCCACTCCTGCTTTATGGCACTGTTGCTTTGAAATGTCCTTTCAAGCTCAGGAGGAGGAGATGTGATTATATAATTGACCTCTTGAGTTGCTAAAATCAGATCTGGTTTGAGACTTGGTCAGCGTGGTTGTAAGCCTGCCTGGTCAAACCTGGAATATTGAGTTTGCAGAAAGCTCATCTTATTTTAGGATTCATAGGACAGTAGAAGGTCTTTGGTTTATGCTCTTGGCTGTGTATATGAGCTTTGGATTTGCTGTCCCCACTGCCATGAGCAATGACAACTTTCCTGTACCTACCCTCTGCAAATCTCACTAGTTAATGTAGGAATTATTGTCTTAAATTCATCTTTATCTCAGCAATTACTCAGGTAAAGAGTGACCCTTCAGCTAAAGAGCCAGGCATATTGGCAATTACATTTCGTCCCTCAGCGTGCACATTCCTCCATATAGCACCAAATTTGTGGGAGAGAGTGGCCAGTGGAGCCTTCAGTAGTGCATTTGGCCGTCTCCAAAGTGGCAGTCTAGACACTGAGCTCACATTTACAATCTGATTTGGACGGAGGTATTTTCAAGGTGAGGTTGTTAATTTCCTTCCTGGGGAAGGTACACTGGACGTGTGGGTGTGCATGCAGATTTCTGACCCAGATTTTCTCACTATCATCTCATGAGTCAGAGAATTGTAGGTATATGTAGATAGAACTGAAGCGTGAATCTGGCTATCCCTGTAACGACAGGGAATGAGACAGCAAATACTTTGCTGAAGGTTTTTTTATTATTGTCTTCTGTCTAGAGCAGGTAGATGTTATGACTGTTTGATACATATAGGATTGGCCACTGGATGGTCTGGAGGCTGCCGCATTTGAGAACAAACTGAACCTGTGTGGCTATTTCTGGTGTAGAGTTAAAGGTGGTTGTGGCTTGCTGTTTTCCTCTAAAACCTCTCAGTTCTGAAAGACAAGGGTAATAGCAATATTTTCAAATAGTGTTTTGGTTTTGGAAGAGGATGTTCTCACTTTAGAAAGCCTTTGGAATGGAGCACCAGCAGGGTACCACTGTGGGTTACCACTCTAAGTCTCATCAGAAAGTAATTTTAGTCCCTGTCCTATGGATGTATTTCTGTACCACCAGACTAGTTTCATTTAATGCTAGTGCTGAGGCATAATAGTGTTTATGAGTCAACAAGGTCAATATTTTCCTCTAAACAATTTCCTGTCCAGCATTTCCCTTTCAGTGAGTGTTTTTCCAGATGACAAAGGTGCTGGGCCCAGGCCTCCTGTCTTGCCCTGGGTAACCTCCTCGATCTGTAGTGTGAGAAAGAAAAGCCCTGGCAAGATGGAATCTTGGCATATTTCACAAGGGCAGGCTAGGTCCAGCTGGAGTATCTGGTCACGCTACTGAAGAATGCTGCTTCCAGGCTCGAGGCTAGCCATGCTCGGAAACACTTACGCTTCAGCCGAAGTCACTGTTGCCCTTCGACATCTCTTTATTTTCGTGGCGGTTATTTTGCTTGCTTAGTGCAGGAGAGCAAGCCGTTTGGGATAGGGAAGGTATGTTGCTGACTGATAGGCAGGACTGATGCTCCAGCACCTTCTTCTGACCTGCAGGAGTGAGTGGGGGGCAATTAATTTGAGGCTGAGGGACCCCCTGGCACCAGTCAGCTCAGGAAGGAGAGACTCCTCCAGTTGTGCTGTCAGCTGTGCTTGCACAACTCAGAGGAGTGGCTGGACTCAGAGAAATGGCTTGATCATTTTTGATTTTTGTCTCTTTTCATTCTATTTGACATTTTCAAGACGGACCCTTTACTCCGAATTGATTGCTTATGGCAGTGAAAGGCAGAGAAATAGGACTTCACTTGCTGCAATCACTTCCTCTCAACTATCTCTGGTTAAATAGGGATGGAGAGAAGGATGATTGTAGTGGTGCCAGCTCTGTCCTGTGAGGAGATAAATGTTCATCTAATTAGACAAAACGAACATCTACATGAAATGGGAAGGAAAAGGAAAGGAGATGGGAAAGAATGCTTTGTCCAACAACTTCTAGCATGAGGAACTGTCTCTTCATGGAAGAGGCCAGTATAGTGATATGATTGAGTTGCTGTGAGTCTATTTACCCTGTCACACTTTGGACCCAGCCTTGTGTGTGGCAACCATGTCCAGAGTTTTGGCTTCTGAAAAAAATGTTAAAAGCATTAGTGATGTTGCCAGAAACAGGGGTATAGTTTTTTTGTTTAATAAATCCTAAATAGACTTTTTTCACCAGTGCCATGTGTTTAGTGCTATTCCGACAGTTTCACTGCCAATGTGCTAAAGACTTTTGTTCACAAAAGATGAATAAAGTAGTGGGTTGAGGTGTGTAATATGGGACAGGCATTGGGAGGAGCAAGAGGCATTTTTGGATGGCAGAGTAAGCATCTCAGTTAAATGCTTCTGCTTTAAGAAAAATTTCCGTAGAAAGGAAACTATGGTAATTTTTTCTCTTAACTCCACCTTCAGGAAACCATTGTCTGCTATATTGTGGTAAAGTATGTGAAAGGCTGTGCTTGCTTTGTAAGGCCATGGGCAAGGGGACTCTCTTCAGTCTAGCCTCTTCCAGGTTCCAGCAGTGCTGTTCCTCGGGGCTGCTTTGAAGAGCTGAACACTCAAAGCCTCCAGAGTATCTAGGCTGCAGGTTCGCTCCTTGCAGCAAAACCTGCCACCTGTTGGGTTTATGCAGTTCTAAACAGCTAGAAGTGTAGGAAGGCTGTCCCATTCTTCTACCAACAGGCTATTAGACACCCTAGGCGCTGCCTGCTGGGGCTTTTGAGACACTTCATTGTCTTGCTGGGAGGAAAACTAGGCATAGAAAATTATTTTATGAAGTCAGAAGTGCAGAAACGTGGAGGTCTGTGATGCTGTGAAACGATGAAAGGAGGGACTGTGGTACTATTTTTTAAAGTGATTTTATATATATTTTTTTTCTTTGCGTCTACCTTCTGTTTAGATGATATGTATCTTCATTCATTTTTACTGTTGAACATATTTGTATTTGCTGTTGGACTTCCGTGCGTCCATTCCTTTAAAATGATTTTTGACAAGAACACTTTTGCAGGTGCTACAGGACTCTGCTTAGACAAGACTCGGCCTGTTGCAGGCCAAGAGCTGCCCTGAGCCTCCAGCTGGGCTGAGGCCTGTTGGTGCCCATCCTCAGTCTTCCTCACTGTGGCTTTAATGAATAAAAGGGGACAGGTTCTCTGGGGTCTTCCCTGGTCGAGATAGGTGAAAAAAGTATTGCAGCATTAAAGCACTGGTAACAAGAAAGATGCTGGTATGTGTTGGAAAGAGGGACTTATTTTCTTGCTTGTGGAGAGCAAATCAAACCATTGCCTTTTCCCTTGCTCCTCCTCCTTTTTCCTCCTAACCGAAACAGGACTCATACTGCATAATGCCCAGAGCCTCTGTATGCCAAAACTCTCTGACTTTTGAACTTTTACATGGAAGTCTCCAGATCCGAAGAGAGATGAAAAATTCTTCCTCTCCAAAAGCTTTTATTTTGGTGACTCACAAAGCCCATCATGCAACCTAGATATCTGTCTTGAGCCTGCTGTTTTCGTTTCTTCTCTCTATATTGCAAACCTGAATTTATACTTTGGATTAAACTTGGGCACAAAAGAGAGGGAATCTTCTGTTTGCATCCATTCTCTTCCAGCTCGCCATTGCCATCTAGGCCTCTGTCCTCCTCGGTGACGGGTGAGGACCTGCTTTGTGCCTGGGAACACGGAGCATGCGTTGGAGCTGGGCACAAAGTGACTGGAATTGCTATGGAAACTGATCTCCTCTTCCTGTGCAGCGTAGATGGAAATTATGTCAGCAGCCCGCTTTAAAGAGAACTGATTTGCAAATAAGGAGCTGATGCTTCCTGATAGGTGTGTAGAATTTTCTGGGTTTCAGAAACACTTCTTGTCTGGCACTGTATTATTATTATTATTTTTTGTCTGTCTGCTGCCCCCCTGCTTGTCCTGTGGGATCACAGGTTGTTGGCACTGAATGTAGAGCTTTGATACGAGGAGCTGTATTGACAAGAGCAGAGGAACCAAGGCACTTTTGTGTGTTGATTGGAATAATA